AGCTACTATATAGTAACTATGTAGTAACTATATAGTTACTATTAAATTTAATAGTTACTATATAGTTACTATGTAGTGGCTATGCATTAAGATTTTTAAGTTTCTGTAAAGAATAATAGATCTAAATATTTGCATTGTTTTTTATTTTTATGAAATGGCATCGATAAGTATGTTCAATCTTTACTAAAAAGTTTACTAGATATTCCTTGTGATGATAATAATAAAATTAAGCCAGTAAGATATGTGGTATCTTTATTAGAGAAAGTATTATGAGAATTTCAATCACAATAAATAAGATTCGGTTTAAATTATAGGTTTATAAGTATTTTTTTTAATTTATTTTATTTATTAGAGGTTTCAGAATTAACTTATTTTGAAAATAAATATGAAGCTTATTTGTGTTTCTAGCTTTTGAAATCAGAAAATAAAATAGAAGTTCTACTTTATGAATTTATAAGTTTTTCAGTTTTGATGATACTATTGTTATATCACTTATTTGGAAATAAATAGTTTATTTATTTTACTTAAAATTAGAAGACCTAGTCATTAATCTAAAATCTGATTTTTCATGAATTGTACTTGCATATAAAATTAATATTTGTATTTGCAATAAAAAAAATAATAAATTACAGTTCAGAATTTCATAACTTTATTTCTAAAATTATAATAACAATACATATTAAATATATTAAATTCATTTCAAATCTTGAGCATTGAGAATACTGTAAATGGGAGTTCGAAATCTAAAAAACTACAATAACTAAACTGTTGTAATAATAGTACTAATATAATGACGAACCAAAACCTGAGTGCCAGGCATACTAAACACTCAGATCCACACACACAAAAAAGCCCAGATCTAATGAACTAATTAAGCCCAGATCTAACAAACTAATTCCTACAAAATCTAATATGCAAGACTTAAGAAGCATTAAGACTCATTCTTAACATAATAAACAAAACGGCTATAGAAGGTTCTTTATTAAAACTTGCCTCTTAATCCTTTTCAGTCAGCTATTCACGCTTATATACAGTTAGTATAGTAATGAGTAGTAAAATCTTCGCTTCTAAGTGAAGTTCTCCATGTACTTGATTGTATTTTGATTATTTTTACATAGCGAACGTTGACACTCTTCCGCACGTATTAGTGGTATTTACGATAGTTTTTAGTTAGTGAACATTATGTTCTCAAAAAGTACTTTAAAGTGAATAAATAAGTTACCTGGGCAATTTATTTACACCAGCCAATCATACAAAAGCCTTTCTATGACAGAACCGTATATCTATAACAAAAGATGCGAGTATCAAAGTGATTGACACATGGCACGGAATATGCGAATGGTAATATTATCTTGTTTGGATAAGTTCATTGCCATGTTTCTTGAGCCGTGAAATGACTTCTATGGCAGACGAACGAGAAACAGCTATACTATACTCCAGAAGGATACATTGCAGGAAAAAATGGAAATTTTGATAGCTGATAGTAACTGCGTACGTGAGTAATTCATGTGGCTCAGGATCCAAATCCGAACACAAACCAGTTTTGCTAAAAATATCACTCGTAAAGAATAATAGTCATCCCAAAAAATTGTTCATCCCCGGTAATTTTGACCAATCAAAATTTAATAAGTAAAAAAGTTACGTGTAAAATAAAAACCAAGAAACCCGTGGATTAGAACAATATAGGGCTTATAAGTAAAACATCACGAGGAACATTTTAATTAGGTCGCAGAAGTTGTGGTTTCCTAATTAAAATTTAGAGCTATTCCTGTTTTTTGTAAAAAAAGTGGTTTCGTTCCGATTTTTACATTACACCTGATCCTGCAATTCGATTGGTCAAATTACAGGGGTGAACAATTTTTTGTGGGAGAGCTAGGGCGTCATCAACCTTATCATGTAAATATTACATAATGTCTTCGCCTGCTTAGTATCCAATTAAGGAAATCGATAACGAATCACTCTGAAATTTTTTTCGTCTTGTGATAAAATTGCGTAATTACGGTAAATTACGTGTAATCGATTTTACGCGTCAAAAAAAAAATTATATAAGGGTTTCTTTTTTTCTTTTCGCTACGTACTCCTCATTCTTATCACTTTACTCTTTCTTTTTTTCATATTACTATTTTATTTGATATACTACTTTATTTGATAGTATTTTATTTAATATACTACTTTATTTGATAGTATTTTATTTAATATACTATTTTATTTAATATGTATGTCTGTATTTTGTATCAATATATCAATAGTTCAAATTAAATTTTAATTAATCCAAATAAACAGGAGGAAACGTCCAAATATAGATATGATTTTCATTCTCCGTTACACAGATCACTCATTGTATTGACCAGTCA